CGCGGGCCTCAAACACCATGGCAGTGAAGGACGGATCGGGCCTGCGGGCCACGGCCGTGAGTGCCTAACGTTGCTTTCTGAACCTACAAGAAAACTTTGCTGTCTGACCCAAAACGGCGCCTGCGCCACAGCCAAACAGCAGGGCCCTGAGGGACGGACCAGGTCTGCCGGTTCAAACCTTGCTGTTTCCTGGCGTCAGCTCGGGTCCAAGGACCCTGTCGCAGGCCTCAAACACCATGGCAGTGAAGGACGGATCGGGCCCGCGGCCGGCAGCCCATACTGCCAAACGTTGCTTTCTGCAGTGCCTAGAAACTAGCTTCAAACTTTGCTTTTCCCTGCGTTCCTGCACTGCCAACTGCCAACTTGCCTGCATTGTCTGACAGCTGGCTTTCGTGCGGCACAGCTCCGGTCAAGTCGACACTAGCTTCAAACCTTGCTGTGTCTTGCCGTCAGCTCGAGTCCAAGGACCCCTCCGCAGGGCCCCAACACCATGGCACTGAAGGACGGATCGGGCCCGCAGCCGGCAGCCCACGGTGCCAAACGTTGCCTTCTGAACTGCCTAGAAACTAGCTTCAAACCTTGCTTTTCCCTGCCACTTTGCCTGCGTCGTCTTGCAGCTCAAACCTAGCTTTTCCCTGCGTTCCTGCACTGCCAACTGCCAACTTGCCTGCATTGTCTGACAGCTGGCTTTCGTGCGGCACAGCTCCGGTCAAGGGACCTCCTCGCAGGGCTAAAGCACCATGGCAGTGAAGGACGGATTGGGCCCGCGGCCCGTAGCCCAGAGTGCCAAACATTACTTTCTGTCGCTCGTTTACTCTTGCTTCTGCATTCTTGCTTCTAACTTCTTGTTTCGTGCTTCTTTCGCTTGCTACGTTCGCTGAGACTGCCCCTCCTTTCTCGCTTCCTTTTTTGAGCTTCTTACTCTGCACCTGGCTTCCCTTTCTGTCCCCCCCTCGCTTGCCCCGCTACGTTCGCTGAGACTGCCCCTCCTTTCTCGCTTCCTTTTTTGGGCTTCTTACTCTGCACCTGGCTTCCCTTTCTGTCCCCCCCTCGCTTGCCCCTCACTTGCACTGCACAACACTTGTTGCTTGTAATCTCTTCTCTGACGCGCTCCCCCTGCTGTCGGCAGGGGTCGGCGGATATATATATATATATTAATTATATACATATACATATATATTATATACATATATATATATATGATATATATAAATATATATCATACTAATATACAACGATTCAAGGATTGCTGGATTGCCTTAAAATTTAGAGCTTAAAACATCTTGAAAACCTTCGAAACCGCATGCGCAGGTCGCAGGTGGCCGTGATCTGGTCCGAGATCTTGGCGAAGCAGAGGCGCAGCTCCACGCTCGAAACATTCGAAACGGCACGGCTCGGCTCTTTTTGGCGCTGCGAGGAAAGAACGGAGTGAAAAACAGCTCCTGCAGCTACGAAAAGGTGCAGCTGAGATTCAGCTTGAGGCCCAGGTTGATTCCTATGATTCCTAGGTTGATTCCTAGGTTGATTCCTAGGTTGATTCCTAGGTTGATTCCTAGGTTGATTCCTAGGTTGATTCCTTGATTTCGGCTTGCAGCTTGATCGGTTGAGAGTCAGAGGCGAATCGACTTGCGAATGCGAGGTCTGCCTTGTCTGGAGTGGAGGCTGAGGTTGTCAAGGCTGAAGCCGAGGCAGGTCCTTGAAACATGCCTTCGAGGCTGATAATCGAGTGGGAAAACTCTTAAAGTTCAGGCCGGTAGTTCCAACGTTGTTTCCAACTTCCAACGGCCCAATGGTTTTCCAAAGTCTCTCTAATATGTTTTAAGATTTTTGTATGCCCTGCTACAAAGGAAGTGTGTGTGGAGCAATAGAAGCTCTTTTTAGAGCACGTGCAAGTTGAATAAACTGCTCGAAGCGTTGTAAAATCAAGACATCTCACATTCTATGCGTCGGCATCTTTTGTACAGCTTTTGCCATGCCTTTGGAGATCATTTTGCTTTTGGCAACATCCTAGGGGAATATCGGAAGAAATAGGATTTAGATTCAGCGTGGTACCAGTGGTACCTTGAGTTTTCACTCCTGAAACGAACTAGATTGGCATGAAATTGGCATGAATGTACAACAAAAGGAAACAGACAACCTATCATAACCTATCCATATGCGCAGTCTGCAAGGATCTGCAAGGAGAGACCGGAAAGTTCCTGGTCAGACTGGATCGTCCCAATTGTTGTGTGACCTTGGCTGCTTTCTTGCTAAGCGTTTGCTAAGTGTTTTCAAAGCTTTGAAGCGTAGCTACCGTAGCATCAAATGGAGTAGCAAACACAAGCGCAGCAAGTAGGTGAACAAGTTCAACGAACGAGTTCAACGAATGTATACGAATGTTATACGCCCCACCCCACCCAACCGCACCGCACCCCAATGAAAGGTGGGCAACCCCTCCGTGAAGTCTGTGTCCAGAAAAGTCTCTTCCGGATTCTGGAAGACTTTGGGAAGCAACGGGAGCCATGTCGCACCATGTCGAGTCTGTCTGGTTTGTTTTGATATCGACACATATCGACGCGTCGATTGTCCAGATGACTTGAGACAACTCGAAATCTGACAGGTATTGTGGGAAATGCGTTGCTAAAAATTGCGAAATTTGGATTGAAAGGGCTTGTCTAGGCCTCGTGGTCCATGCAACACTCTGTTGACGCTTCTGCTTCAAGAAATCTATCCAAGATCTGGGTTTCACAGATACGGACTTTGGACAGCTCTATGATGAGTCAAAGGTTATGTTCATGCAGCCTGCATTGGAATGGCCGGGTCAGCCTGTGCGCCGCTACCGTTTCAAACTGTAAAGTGTGCTACCCTGAGGGATCCTGAGTTTTTATTTGCAAAGGCCTAGCGCTGAACTGGTCCAAAATCACTTCTAGATGCCGCACTTCAATGCAGGCTCAGAATACATTCAACTTTTCAACAGCATCTCAAAATGACCTTCAATAGATCAAGCCTCAGCCCAGGGGTTCAAGAGGTGCAATGATTTCTTATGGCGCGAAGTCCCATACTAGGCGCTCACTTTAACATAGTTTAACATAGGTTTAGGGCTAGTCTACGTTTTGCTATGTTTTGCTATCACCCAAAAGAACACGCGTTTGCGACCAACCGGGTTTTGGTGGGATCATGGCCGGCAGTTCGATGCAGGTTAGGCACCTGCCTCCCATGATCAAACGGGCTGGCATGATGATGCACCAGCTCTATGAAAGGCTGTCAGATGCTGTCAGTTGGCCACGCGGCCACCCGGATTTCCCGGTTTCCATGAGTTCTTTGTTTTCTAACGAACTTTCACTGCTATGCTGCCTAGCAACTTGTTGCCATGATGCTAGTGCACACAGTTTTGAGATTGAATCTGCACGTAGCTTTTCTTGGCAAAGGGGGACACATTCCAAAAACCTTGACAACGCTGCGAAAGGACAGAAGCAGCCGAGACAGCGATTGATGCTGCGCGCGATTTCCTGGCGGCGGCCAAGGAGCAGGCTAGCAGCCTCAACAGCATTTCAACAAACTGTCATTATTGTCATGGTCTTAGTCGAATTGGTCTTGAAATGACTTTGAACTCCTATCCCTGCCATGCCAGCGAAGCAGAAGATGGCTTTTGTTGCGAGTGATCATTGGTTGCTAACTTCCACAGTTTCTGGGCGCCTGCTCTTCGGGAATTGGTTTGAAAGGCAGCTTGTACTCTCTTTCTGCTGCGTGTGAAGACAAATCAATATGACAATCCATTTCTATTGTGACCAGCCCTTCTTCATGTTTATACTTGTGTATCTTTGCACCTTAGTATATGTAAGTATGTACATACATTATATATATATATATATATTATATTTGTAAATGTCACGAAAGGTAGCGTCAGCTACCTGAGTTCTCCGTGCTTCAGCACAAGCTTAGGGGGTATTGGGGGGCCAGCCCACGGAATTCATGGAATTCTCGCCGTTATGTATTGGATATCAATTATAAGGGGGGGGGGCCCCCCCCCCCGAAAATGGTCATGGGTTCAATTCCCACGGGGGACGCGGTCACGGGCCCCCACATTAGAGGCACACTTTCCATGAGGGAGATGTCCCTGTAGTCCAGCATACTTGGTATGCTTCAGCCTCAATAACAGTTGCTGCAAGGGGTCTTAAAAAGGGGTTTTAAATAAACCCCTTTTCGTGCATCATTTCACGCAGCACAAGACACAGTGTCATGCAGTCATGCTCTGGATAAAATCATCTTAGACTGCGCAAAACGTTTTTGGTGTATCATCTTAGGGGCGCAGCATTTTGACACCACTCCTCTCCCACTACACTACCTTTCGTCCGCCTCCGCCTGCTCTCAAGTGAATTAAGGAACTATGTCTGAAATTGAATATAACCAAGGAAGAATGTCGAAATCATACATTACTGAGAAAGCATGCATGAATCAGCACTGGCATGTGAACCTTGGATTGCATGATTGTTCCGCTGCTTGGATCAATAGGCCTAAGCCATCAATGCTACGCGTCATGGCAAAAGACTGAGCCCTGCGTTGCTTCTGCAGTGGTAGGTCGGAGCCTCAAGTGAGATTCCTCCGGCCTTTGACGTTGCGTTCCAAGTGCATGTGATTTTTCTGGCATTCTTCACTGGTATCGTTTGATTGCTTCGAACATTGCTGGTTGGATCGCTGGATTGGAATTTGCAGCTGGTGTTCCGATTTTGCGATAGCTGCGTTGTCGAACATTTTGGTGACCTGGCTGTGCCTTTTTGCTTTTCACCTGAAGGGGACATCACAACTTGATTTGTTTCCTTGCTTTGCTGTGTTCACCTTAGAGATGGCAGACGAAGACAAGGGACGTCTGCTTGGTATAAAGTTCCTACGTGGGACGGAAACCCCTCTGGTTTCCGCAGTTTCAAGCGAGAGATGGAATGGTGGAAAGCGAGTCTGGATCCCACTAGCTGTGCAAAGTTTAACGTAGCTGCACCGCCCGCTGGACTTTGAGACAGACTGGAATGGTTCGGGCTCGAGCCGAAGAGTTTTCTCCATCAGAACTTGAAGGAAAGAAACAGGTTGAAACCGAAGATCCCACGACTGGGGACATGGTGGTCATTGAGGAGGGCAATCATTTTGCTGGTTTAGACAAGCCGATGAAAGCCTTTGAAGACTCCCTTGGAAAAACAGCCCTGGACAAGAAAGGAGATCTTCGAAAGCAGTTCTATCAAGACCTTCGTAGAACAGCAGGTGAACGTATCAGCTCTTTCTGTTCAAGGTTTAGGACTTTGGTTGGCGACATGCGCCGTGAAGGCGTGGTTCTTCCAGATGAAGAACTTGGTTGGTTTCTCAGAAGCCGTATGGGACTGGATGCAATCCGACTTCAGCTGTTATAACCACTGCGTTGGGTGGAAAAGAGAAGTATGAGGATGTGGAATCAGAGGCGCTTCGACTTTTCCGAGATCTTCACAGTGAGGACCCTTTGCATAAACAGCAACAGGAACACAACCCCATTTTGCAGCGCTTCTTGAACTTCAATTCTAAGCCTTCTATGCCAACAAGGTCATCTTTTCCTTCTAGCTCAGCTTCTTCTACAGCAGGCAGATCTTTTCGGTCAGGTTCTTCGATGGCTTCACAACGTTTTGCACCGAGACCCAATCCTCTCTTCATCCTGGAGGTCGAGCTGCCTTGATTGCTGAAGGCCCTGTGGATGAGGAGAACTATGAGCCTGAAGAAGAGGAGCTGATCCCGGACGATGCCGTGGTCAGTGCAGCTCCAGCGTCACTTGAAGAAGTTTTTCAAAGTGATGCTGAAGTTTTGGCGGCTGAGATTGAAGCCATGGAGGAAGAGGGCATTGACCAGTCTGTGATTGATGGACTGTGGGCTCTGTTGGTCAGCGATTGGCAGAACATGGTTTGATCGATAGCCGCCCCAGTTTGGCACGGCAGATCGCTCTTCGAGAAACTGCTCGAGTGGCTATGACGCGTCTTCATTTTTCACGAGGACTTCGTAAAGCAGAGTTGAGCAGATCAAGATCATCAACTATGTCTCAACCCTTGGAGCCAGGAGCCATTGTTTACTTCTGGCGGGAATCAAAGTACAACGCGAGGACAGCTCCATCTAGAAGAAGGTTGATTTTGGGTCGATGGCATGGTCCTGCCTTGTTGGTCGCTTTGGAAGTCCACACCGCAGGATATGTGAGCTTCAAAGGACAGCTCACCAAGTGCGCCAGAGAACACCTGAGGTTGGCATCTTCAATGGAGCAGATCAGCGCTGAGGTGTGGCATGACTCGATTAGAGAGACAGTCGAGTCGGCCATTCATGACATGCAACTTCGTGATCAATTTCCACCAGAATCAGTTCCGCCTACTGCCCCACCAACGCCAAGATCAAATGCCCCACAAACGCCAAGATCAAAAGCCCGTCAACAGCCTCAACAGAATCTTGAACAGCAACTTCAACCACAAGTACAAGCACAACTTTAATCAGAAGCCCCTGAGGTGCCCGAACATGATCCTCAAGATCTACCACCAGTGTGAACGGAGGAGATGGTTGCCGCTTTGGCTCCAGCATCTCAGGAATTTGCACAAACTCCTATGAGTTCATATCAGCAGAGCCTTGCACCGAGCCGAAGAACGCTTCGTGCAGGACCTTATTCAACTTCATTGACTTCACCATCGGCTGCACGAACTCTTGGCAAGTCTCTCACTGATGTTATGAGACGGACTCGTGAGGTCGATGATGAGACGAAGAAGAGGGCTGCTTCCGTCGAGCCAGAAGCACTTCGGGATGCCAGCCAAGAAGTAGAACCACCTTTGCCACCACCGCCAAATGTTGAGCCCCCGGAAGGAAGTGGCTCCCATGCTGTGATGGTAACCAATGCGACAAACTTAACAACCCAGATTGACATTTTGTGTGGAACAGAACATCCACTCAAACTTCTTTATGATCAAGTTCAACGAGATGCCAAAGATCCACTATACGAAGATGTAGTTGATCATGGCACATGGTCAGGCAATTGGCCGTTGCCTTCCAGATCTACCTGGATAGCTCATGAAAGATGCAAGGCGTTGTGGCCATGCAGTTCAAATGAGGTCTTTGCCGCGAAGACTGCGCGGCGGGAGATCAAATGGAAGCAGAGACCTGAAGAGCAGAAAGAAGCTTTTCGACAAGCTGCTGCAGTTGGATGGCAAGTGCAAGTTGACAACGATGCCTTCCAAGTCATTCCTGAGCCTGAGGCCACGCGCATCAAAACCAGACTCAAAGCATCTGGACAGCTTCACAAGATCCTTGTTCTACGTTTTGTTTTCACTGACAAGAACGACGGCATTCTCAGCGACTCAAATCCTATGCCACTTCGTGCAAATGCCCGGCTTGTCATACCAGGCTACCAAGATGAGACAGCCTATGGTCTTCGAAAAGACGCACCAACTGCGACAAGAACTTCACAACATTTGCTCTTTTTGGTTGCAGCTGCTGATGGTTGGCACCTATGGGCAGCTGACATCAAGTCAGCCTTTTTGAAGGGCGAAGTGTTTGAGGAGGGTGAAAGGGAGCTCTACATTTGCAACATCAGAATCTGCAACAATTTCAGCATGAGCTTCAATTCACTCATACATTTCAGTCAGACATGTCCCATCCATTGTCTTTTGCCGCTCCTTGATGCTCAGGGGCCCCTTTTCAGGATCTAATCCAATACCAGCCATTGCGGCTGTCGGTGCTGTGGCATAAAAAGGCTGCTGAGGCCTTCTTGCGTGTGAACTTCCATTTGAACGATCGTGAGCCCAATCATTTGCTCCATTGTGCTACCACCGCTACATTGGTAGCGGGGCAGGACTCCATCTGGGGCCTGCTGCGACTACAAGATTGGGGAGCCAGAGGTTCTGATCACCTTCGGCTACAAGTCAGGCAGTTCTTGCGAACTCTTGCCCCTTTTCATTTGGCGACTGTTTGTGCATTGAGCTTGGAGAACATTGACACTATCAGGGAGTTTGTAAACTACTAGCTCTACTGGTTGATTCTGTTCACCTTGCACGTCATTGCCTTTGTGTTGAATCAAGAGTATAAGTACGGCAAGAACCTAGGGGCATACCTGAACTTTTCTTGTTTCTCCAGAACTTCTCCTTTGACTTGTTCTTTTTCTACATCATGTCTTCTGAAGGAAGGGATGTGATACCTAGCTGGGATGGAACAGCTAGAACATGGAGAAGGTACACCAGGGAAGTTGCCTGGTACTTTCGTGCCACGCCGTCCCACAAGAGACGCTATGTGGCGACCAAACTACTCAGCCGGCTTACCGGCTCCGCCAGACTTTTGGCGATGTCATGGACCGATATGGCGCTGGATGACTACAACGGGACAAAGACCCTGCTGCAGCGACTCGCAGTGAGTCCTCTTGTTCGTCAGTCGCTTCCCAATGCATCTGCAATTTGTGCTCAGTACTTTGACTTCCGAAGGAAGGTCAACGAGCCTATGACTACATTCTTGGTGAGAGAGTCTTTGGGCTATACTGAGTTTGTAGAATCGTTGGTGAGATTGGCTGAAGAGAAGAAGGGCCTGCGTCCTGAAGACTCAGATTTTGGTCTTCCACCAGCTCCTCAGTATGATGAATGGTCAACGTGGGATCGAGATGAAGATTTTCCTGAAGCTGAATGGTCATGGCACCGTGATTATGATGCCGTGCCCACCATGGAGCGTGGAGTCGGAACTTCTCCCATGGCTGACAGTGGTTCACCTGCAGGAACCTATAGCCGTATTCCTCAAGAATCCCCAGCTGCAAGCCGACGTTCGGCAGGTGTTCAGCCGTCTTTCTTTGATGATGACGAGGTCAACGAGCTGACCTTTGCTGACTCCTTTGTGCTAGGTGTTTTGCGAGGATTCCGAGTTTTGCAGGCTGCTGGATTGACACCAGAAGAACGACGTGTGATCTTGTCCTCCACACGTGGTTCCTTGGAGTTTGACCAAGTGACCGAGGCACTTCAAACGCTTTGGGATGAACAATTTGCTGGACAACGTGCTCAAGTGCATCATTCCAACTTTCAGGAGACCTATGCGGCCGAGATGGATGAGGCTGATTCCTGGCAGTGGGAAGATGCACAGTATGCCGAAGATTGGAGCTCATGGCATGATCCTTACTGGGATTGGTCCGAAAGCTATGTGGCTGAACAACCTGAAGAACCTTCTTCAGCTGACGCCGAGGACCCTGCCATCAAGGAAGCTCAACAGGCTGAACGCGTTGCGGAGTCACTTGCTTTGGAGGCTCAGCGCACTTGGTCAGAGGCACAACGTGCCACAGCTGCTCTGAGGAAAGATCGGGGCTTTGGTCAGCATCCCTCCTTGCCTGGCCAAAAGGGAAAGGGCTGCTGGATTTGCAATGGGCCACATATGGCCAAGGATTGCCCTGATCGACGTCATCCAAGCATGATGAAAGGCAAGTTCAAGGGCAAGCAGTCCTACATGTCTGAATATGACGACAGTGTCCCCTATTTCCATGAAGACCTCTACGCTGGTCGCGTGAAGGGCAAGAAAGGTAAGAACAATCACTGGCTTGAAGCACAGGCTTGGATGAAAGGGAAGGGTCCACGTCCTTCTCAACAAGGCAAGGGTCAAGCCCTTCGCCCACCAGTGAACTCCTATCACTCGGAAGTCTTCTTTGGTGGTCTCGAGCTTCTCAGTAGTGCCAATGAGGTGCAGGCCAGCAGCACAGAATGTTTGCCTAGCACTCATGGTCTTCTAGATTCAGGAGCTACAGCATCAGCTGGCCCTCAGATAGCTGTAGAGAATTTGGTGGCTGCCGTACTTGCGGCAGACCGACAAGCTGAGATTGAAGTCCGCCAGTCCGATCGCCCTTATTTTCGCTTTGGCAATGGTCGGTGGGGTAGGGCACTATACAAAGTTGTTATTTCCTCAAAGGTCAGCGGTATTCAGCAAAGTTTTGGTTTGTATGCACTTCCAAATCCTTCAGAACTTCATAGACCGGACTTTGACAAATCTACTTTGGTTCCCATTCTCATCGGTATGGATCACCTATCTGGACCTCACTCATCTATGACCATTGACTTCATGACTGGCATGGCTTTGGATTCTAGTGAAGAAAATCCCGTAATCTACCAGTTGAAGGCGAATCGTAAGGGTCACTATGTGTTGGACATCATCTATTTTCTCACCAGGGGTTGCACTTCTACAGAGGGTCATCCACGGGTACATGTTGTGAAACACACACCATCAGCCACCATTGAGAACAATTTCATTCAGTTCATGCCGATCGAGTTTGATGCGATGATGATCGATGTGAAGATGCCCATGAATGATCCACAGATGATGTCACGTGCAAAGCGAAACTTGCGAAAGTTGCATGAGAGCAGTCGTCAGTTTCGAATGAAACTGCAGCACTCTGCTCGAATGTCTTGCGAGACTGACGCGCTGCCCAATTCGAGTCCACCAGCCAGTTCCAGCCATGAGCAAGCGGAACTCCACTATGAGTCCAGAACAGGTGGAAAAGTTCGACGAGATTGTGGAGACCACACCAGGCAAGTCCCAGACTCGTCCATTCGACCATGCTCGTCGAGTGGGGCCGGACTTGCGGGACCCACGAATGAAGGCCAGTCAGTGGCCATGCTTTGGCAATCACCAGGAAGCCAAAGCCCATGCCAATCCACACGGCAGTTGGGTGCATTGCAAGATTTGCAATGTTCGACTCAGCTACACTCCTCGAGTCGGCTCAGCGGCTCAGACAACAAAGGTGGAGAACGAGCACCAGGTGCAGAAGATGCTCAACGAGTTGGAGATCCTTTTGAAGTCGGTGCCTCCGACGTCAGAACTTTGTCTGGCCATGCAGAAAAAGATCGACGCAGAGACGGTTCTGATGAGTGGCATCCAGAAGCACCTGGAGATCAATGCCAGCCAGATCAAGCCCAAGG